AGTGACAACATCAATTCAACAGAAGTCTTTAGAATACATACATGTACATGTTCCTGTAGACTGTTTAATATAGACAAAAGTGAACTCTTACTATAGATCGTTTTCATGCATGTGACATCATCACTTTCTAAAATCCAAAACTAAAGAGCCACCAAATTGGTTTTTACCCGCATCAGGCATATAAGAGGTGGTATATTTATATCTGTTTACAATTTTACAGCTCAATAGCATGTTTCATTTGGAAATCAGACACATTTGAATTTCAGGATTATGGAGGTGCGTGACACAAGGCTACGATCGAGTTTGTTAAAAAATATATACTTACATGTTTCTCATGATTTTGAGCCTTTTCAGAAGTTAGAGCATTAGGGAAAGTGCTTCATATGTAAATGCTTGTTTGTTTAGTACTGATAATCAGTTGCTAGATTGTCAAAGTAAGTTCCATATGTTTACACTATTTTCCAGCCGCCATGTTTGTGTACCACAGATGTACACCAACATGGCATTTTCATACTGGGCTCTGTAAATTTCTGCAAAACATTTTGATGAATATCTGAAGTTTGGGGAAATGCACAGGCCTAAAACTTGGAGCAGTGTTTTTATTACAATTTCTTAGCTTTTTCCACTGAATAGTTTGTGATTTATTTTTTTATTGCGTAAGGATTGGAAAACCCAGATGGCTCAGATAGTCCACATCCTTGCTCATAGTCACTGAACTATGATATTGAGAGGTTTTTGCCTACCTTTTCTCTGTATGATTCTGGGAACAACTTACAGCTCTCAATGACACCTGAAGAGATTAGAAAACAGTGAAGAAGGATTATTAGAAATAAACATAATTATGGCATAGCTCGACAAAATAACACTGAAATGTTGAAATAGGAGATACACATATGTGATCCACTGCAGCACAAAAGTAATCAGTGACTGTTATTTATATACACTGCACAGGATATTTATGGAATGGTGTAACAAAAGGTCAAGTCTGTATCCAAATGGCCCATCAGGCTCTCTGGTTTCAGTAGCATGAGGTGACTAAGAGTATTTCTACTCCTCCCTGGATAAGATGCAAGTCCATTGCAGGGTCACCTCTCAGCATTTAATTCCCTGGTACCCATTTATGTCCCTGGGTGGAGAGAGGCACTGTGAGAGTAATTAAAAGTGTCTTTGCCCAAAAAGACAGCACAATGTCCCCAGTCAGTGCTTGAACCTGCACTGCTCAATCAAAACCATAAGGTCACTGAAGGTGATCGCACTTCCACAACATCAGGTAATACTGGGCAGCAATTCACTGCTAACCATTAAAATTGTCCAAAAACATAACAAAATGACCTATGAACCCAGTTAAGGTTATGAGCCAGAAGACTAACAACAGCCAACTACAGCTGTAGTCATTGACTAGTAAAATTTTAGATTTGGGTAGTACATTGTACAGTAGGTTTTTACATGTATTTCTACTACGTGACTGCCTCTTCTTGGTTGGTACTTAATGAATTAAACCATACTTGGCAAAGTTGCCATTTGCAAATTGCAAACTAAGGCAAAACCTGACCACTGTAGGAATGACAAAAGGTAGATCTATACGTGACATTTATATCAAATTTTCAGTTGTTTAAGTTAACTCTCCAATTCAATACTGACAGCTTCACTTTCAGATCTTGCTGGTTCTAAAGGATAAAAAAAAACAACAACAACAACACACAGAAAACAATAAAGAAGAGCAGATTATTTACCATAGACTTGACTTACCATATACCGTGCAACCTTTCTCTCCATTGATATTAAATTTGGTGAGTGTCTTATCAAAGTCTGAGATGACCTACAAGGCATTGGGAACATCAACAATAAATACTGAATGACTGGTGCTAAGGGAAATAACTCAATTTAAAAATTTTGTTTCCCAGGAATCTTGGATCATGCACAGTAAAGGCATCTGCAGTCAGGTGTTGATCGATACCCTTGATTGAAATCTCGAGCAGTTCTCGATCGACATCCCGATCAATACTCAGTTGACACTTGATCGACACTTGATCAACAGCCGGTTGATAGTCGGCCAAGTGTCGACTGACCCATATGCATCAATCAAAATTAGTCAACTGTTGACCGACTGTCGAGTGTGATGTCAGTGGAGTATCAATCAAGTGTCAACGGAGGTGTCAATGGAGTGTCAATCAAGTATTAATCAAGGGTATCGATTGAGGGTATCAATCAACACTTGGCCGTGGATGCCTTTAGTACACATAATCCAGAATCTCAATGTTTCCTGAGGCAGAGTCAAGGGAAACACCATTGAGATTTCGAGGGAAACAAAATTAACTGGTTTATTTCCTGAAGAACCCTGGACTCATTATTAGTGATTTGTTATATAGCATAACAAGTACAGTTACGGCAGTCACGATTCAATATTTGTGGGTAACCGTGCACCGTTGGGGGAGGCTATTTTGTGAGCCTGCAAGCCGCGAGCTGTGAGTCTCTTTTTGCAATTCTCAAAAGATTCCCGTCAAAAAAATTGTCCAAAAACGGGCATAATACCCTAATATGGTATTTATTACATGCGGGGTGCTTCCATTCTGCCAATATCCGAGGAAAATGAAACGACATTTCCCGATCAAACCAGGCCAACTAAGAGGAATTCGACTCTTACCATTTTTTATTCCTTTTCCGAATTCCCTACATAAGTGAAGAGAAACAGGGCAGTGAACCAATTTGTCAAAAACGGAACGGCAAATTTTGGTCGGACCGGTTTGACCGAAATAAGTGGACCACCTCCAGAGGTGATTCCAAATATTCCAGACAGAAGAAACCAAAATGGACCTTTCCATTTGACTTCCGACCAAAATTTCAGGAATCTTTGGCATAATGGATAGTACCCATGGTCTTCATATGTTGGTGCACTGTAGCATGGCAAGTGAGGTGATGGAAAGTTTTCATCTCTTTATTTTATTTCTACCAATTAAGCAGATATTATAGGAAGGACCTTTTTCCCATCTTGCTTTTTGGTAGCTGCAAGCGAGGTAAATGGAGGTGTCGTGACAGCGTGACATTTCAGAAGTTGACAGCTAGGATCACAAGATTTGTAAACATTGTAATCAGAGACACAAGTGATTGTGAAATACATTTTTATCGAGAGAACACAGAAAATAGGACGCGTTGCAACACTGGAAGAGAATTAAACAAGGATTGGTCGAGTACAAGTGAGTTGTGAGTGTGCGAGTTAAGGTGTACCCCACAAATTTGGTACAGAGGAAACTTCTGCTTAATCTTTAATTAGTTCGCAAGGAGTTGTGATTTTTTTGACGCAGTAAATTGTACGGACTTTCACTTGGCCGAACGAAGGGGTTTCGTCCCCAAACTTTTGAATTGGTTGAAATAAGCAGTCGTCCAGTCCTATGATTTTACAGTGGAACTATTTTTTAAAAAAAACAAAAAAAAAAACAATTAAGGGCCTGGTTAATCCCAAGAGACAAAACAACGGACAACTGGGAACCTAAATTATGCATCTTTCATGGCGGTGCTTCTCGATATATCATCTTAATAATTACCTATTAAACTTTGCCTCCTTTGAACGTTTCCCTGTTTATATTTGAATTGGATATTAGTCAATTTTAAATAATCAACATTTTGATACAAAAATTTGTGAGGGAAACTCCAAATTTCATTCATATTTGAAACTATAAACTGACCTTCAAAATCCATTTTGACAGAGATGGAAAACTACATGAACTTGTGCGGAATGTCATGCACAAAAGAAAATCAAAAACTTTTGTTTCTTTAGCCAAGTGTAGCATTTGTACTGCGTAAAACGTAAACATTAAATTAAAAACTCAAAAGAAAAAACAAAAACAAAAACAGAAACAAAAGCAGCACTTGGCTTGCAAAAATAGGCTTGCAGCTCACGGCTCCAGCTCGCAGGCTCGCACTTTAGTTACACTCTGCACTGTTACCATCTGATGCCACAGATTTTGCAATAATATATGTTCGGAGACTTTTGGTGGGAAACAATTTCATGGCTAAATATTATGTGACCTCAAAGACAAAGCTGATGATTAAAAAGCTGGGGAAATAATTACTGTTATATAACAACAACACTTATTACAAACTCTATCATAAATTTTAGATGAAAATCTGCAAGGGATTTGAATCAATAAACATTATTTTATGTCACTTCACAAACCTGAAGCTTTTCAGATCCTCCCTCATAAAGTACCTTGAGTTTTTCTCGCACATGAACTGAATCTCTCATGTAGACATTGGGCTTGTCAATATTTTTAATCTGTAAAAAGATTTAAATTAAAGCAGCACTACATGTGTCATGAGAATGATTTCAAAATGTCAAAAGCTAAAAGCAGCATTGACGTTAAATAAAGCCTAAAAATAATGGTAGATGTGTTGCAGTTTTGTTGAAACTGCTAATAAAAATTAAAGCTACACATACTAAAAAAAAATATGTTATTTCTTGAGTTTATACGCATGCATGTAGAAGGTTTTTACCTGAAGTAGTCCTTGTGCATGTAATACTACCTGTTAATAAAATCTTTGTTTAGGCACCACTTTGCTATTTGCTGAACTGACTTGCTAGTATATTATTATTCGGGCTGATGGGTTTTTATGCCGGATCTCTTAAGGAATAAAGCTCACTTGTAACACAACAGATCATTAACATTACCACTAACAGTACTCAAATCATTTATATTTGACCAAAAATTTTAAGACTTAGAATGAAAAAACGGTGGTATTACTGACTTGAAGAAAACGCAGATAACGACATTAAAAAACTGTTAATCATCAGAAAAAATTAATTCCTGTGAATTTCATATCAGTGATTTAAAAGGAAACGAAAGCGATAAAAACAAATTAGTATTCAATTCAATTCATTGTCTATAAAAAAAGAAAAAGCAAATATTGTATAAATAAAATATGCAATACATTAACACAAACATCGTATGAATAAAATATGCAATAAATTAACCCAGTTGGGCTAACGTTTTTGATGAGGCATTCGCAATATTTGTGATCGGACAGGATTAAGAAAGCAGTCGACCTTGAACCGTATTTTGATTACCATTAAACAGCTTAATTGTTCTACAGAAAGACCTGTTTGTTGGATCGAAGCAGCTAGTTTAGTTCTTAGGAAAAGAAACAGTCCATTTAAATGCAATCAATTTCAAACAACGTGCAAAAGGTCTGAATAACAAAGCCAAGCTTGTAAGCTTTCTAAATCATGAAAATTTCGCGCCACCATACCATCTCGTCCACTGCCTCCTTGATCTTTCGAGCCTTTTGCCTGCCTTGCACATATTTGTAAAGACCGTAGCCCACCACGACCGACACGCCAATAGCTGCGACGCCAAACATCGTTTTCTGTTCGATCATAACACAATTTCTGCAATTCTAATTTCGAACTTGATGCGTTGTCGTTCGTTCGCTGGGTGGCTGCAAAATATGCTAATATTCGTCAGGCGTTACTGTGATGTGTACCCAGGCCGAGCGTTACCCAGGCCTTTCCAGGTAGTCACGCCCACTCCAGAAAATTCCGGGAATTTCGGTTGAAAGTCAAATGGATCTGATCAGACAATTTTCGGGAAATCCGTACGGAGATTGTGGCTTCTTCCTGATGTGTACTCGTCTTTGTTACCTTCTCCACAGCCAGCTTTCCAGTCTCCAAAAGTACTATCTCTCTGCCGATTGGAAGCATCCTTATCATTATTCAATGTCATTCCGACCGCCCAGCCCTTTAGCTTCCGAGAAATGGTAAGCACCCTATGTGTGCTATAACTCAATCAACAGTTACACTTCTTAGTGTGACAAAATCGGTCGCTTAGTTCGAAGTCAAACAGGAGCCCATTACACCGAGAGCCTGTCACGGGTTTTGGGGAATAAGGGAACATGATCTTTATTTCAAGTGAACAAGGGATATTTTTGGGACTATTTTGAGGGAACAAGGAATTTTGGGGAAACGGCGGAATTTAGTAATGGGGAATAACTGATAAAAAGTGAAATTTTTAAGGGATCAAGGCAACACGCTACATCTCCTCGCCCTCCCCCAGCCCCACTCCCCGACGGCCCTCTACACTGAGTTACAATCATGGACAAAAGTCTTGGGACAAATTTGCACTTTTGGCGCTTTTGCGTACACGCCAGGCGCGAATACAACTTCACCTGCCTAACCTCGCCCCCCACCCCCCATACAATGTTGAAAACTAGTACGTGCAATTTCARCTGATTKTCAACATTGTGTTGGGTGGGGAGGGGGGACAGCAACCCGTTTATAAAGGATATAGCAGCGTTTTCTTCATACTTCAGTTCTAAAACACAGATAATCCGTTACATTACATAAGTGTCCCAAGGACTTTTGTCCACGATTGTAGCTCTGTAGTCCAGTAAAATCGCTTGCATAGTGCACAACACACTTTCTCCTTTTTCTTGTCGTTCTTGGTGGAAGAAATAGAGGAAAAGTAATCGACTTGTGGCAAGTGGAGACAGACCACATTAATGTAGAGAGGATCATTAATTAATGACTTGACAACACCATGACCTGAAGTTCTAAGCCCGTTCCAGACTTTTGATGGAGGGTAGGTAACTGAACACTTCCACAAGTTGCTCGAAATTTATCAAAAACATGGCCATCACAACTTAATAATTGTTCAGTGAGTTGTTGTCAGGTAGCGAAAGTCGCCCTTTACTATCATCTCGGTATCGGACTGGAACTAGCATGCAATGGAGGCTCGTGCAAGGTTAAAAATAGATTAATCTCATTTATCTGAAAAGAGTCTCGATTGCTATTGCAAGTTTGCGAAAATACGAAAATGGCCTGTTGTTTTCATATATGTAGAACATGGTAACATCATTGACTAGTTCACAACATTGACTTTACTTAAATTAAAGTGTATTTCAATACGTGTTTTAGACTTACTGAGCGTGGTAAACCTTTACTGAATGCATTAAGCAGGGCAGGAAAGCTTCTGCCCTGAGCTTCAAAACAAACTTGTTTACAAGTTGATGTGCTGTACAGTGACAAGTTCTTGTCCACGCTTTCTTCTCTATAGCAACTCAGGTGTAATGCATGGTAAAACAATGAATCGGTTTTCGCATTATAGCGAGGACAATCAAGGCCGAGGTTTGTGTTATCTGCTGAAGCCGAAGGCCGTGGCGGATAACTGGTGATCGAATGATAAAACAGTTATTGACCTCGGTTATCAAAAAATAACGTGATTTGTCAATGTCTCGCAGATCACGATACTTTGCTCAACATCGTCCAATAATTGCTAATTATCATTCGATGCATTTTCTTCCTTTTTATCGGTCGAGAGCCTACCGCGTGACCAGCTGCAAACAACTGCCGCTTACGAGGTAATCAATATAAGGAAGTTCTGACCATTAAGGTGACTTCAAGGCTAGAAGGGAAGGGAAAGTCTTGTGAGATTTAACAGAAGAAGACGACGAGACAACCCTTTTTGTGGGCTCTTTCACGAAGACACAAAACAGAAGGTGAAAAAATAAACTACCGTACTTATAATTATGCAGACTGGGGGAGCTTTAAAATCAGTCATCAGTCATTCTGTTGGCCGAATTTTCTGTCATAAATTATTTGAACGGTCAGGAAAAACAGCATGGTCAGTTGACAAAGAGGATTTAAAGAAAGTAATATTTTTCAACATTGTAAAATCCTTTTTTTCTCTCTCTTTTTTGCTTGAATTGCACACCATCCTACGCATCGATCGCTGTTGTACCGTAAGCTGTATGAGCACTATTCAGTTTTCAATTTCTTTTGCCGTAGAAAACCGAACAAAATTAATATAAATGCAATTTCCTCAAGAAACGTTTCTTAAGATGTTATCTTAAGAAAAGAATATTAAAGTACTAATTACAGTTTCCGCTAGCTCTGATGAGCAATAAGGGGACCATTTATTTTCCACAGACATCGTAAATCTTCTTCGATTTTTGTTAACATGTTCGGCTAATGTGCTTTTTGTTTCGGCGATAAGACCATGCGTTTGTCACGAAAGCGCACTGAAACATTGAGGTGATAAATCAGAAATAAAACGCACATTTTCACAACACAGTAGGGAAGAGTACAGATCTAATGTATCGTTCTTGACCCTTGCATACGCTGATTCCAAACATTGGACTACCAATTTCATTCTGAAGGGACAAACCAGTTTCCTACAAATAGGAGATGTTGAAATAATCATGGAAATGACATGTCATATGTGGAAAATCAATCAGAAACATTACATTTGGAATACGCTAGCTTGACCGCAATCACTGGCAGATTTCATTAATTATTGCCATAAAATCTATCGATACGATGCACAAAACGAAAACAAAAAACACTACGCAACGATATTAGGTTGCAAATTGATTTGTTTAAGCGAATATCTTCCGCCCCAAATATTAATTTGTAGTACGATGAATGGGAATAGTCTGATCAATATCTTGATAATTTCAACAGTACTCCGAAAACAAATATTTACTGTATGTGCCAAGAACACTAGTCATGGAAAATGTCTTCTAAATTGCCTTGATAATTAATTAGTTTAATCAGTAGTCATATTGAGAATCCTGTCTGTATACGCCTATGGGAAAAAAAAAACAAACTGAAAAGGTAGAATTTCTTGAGAAATCTGTCAGCGAATATTTTTTCCATTGAATGATTTTAATTTTTCTTATTGTCACCTTTCCAATAAGTTGCCCTGAAGAGAACCCATTTTTACTGCAAGACCCATCTCATACGCGTATTTAAATACGACGAACAAACGTTGTCATTTTGACTAATTACTTTTAGCGCCCAACCTCTCAGAACGGTATATATAAAGAAGTCGAGATTAGAAGCTAAGTTTGTCCCATTATCTGGTACGGCAAGAAAAAGGAAATTAACGCATCTTTGCAAGGACGAACTTGGTTCCCATGCCAGGTATTAAGAGTCTTAAGGTAAGAAACTGTGGTAGTATTTTCTTCAAGATGTCACCTAACCCAGTCTTAACTAGGGCTCCTTATGTCCCGTTAATTTCGTTTCTCTTTGAAATGACATGGCTCGTCGCCTGTTGCTGTCCATACCATGAATTTCTAATTCTATTTTCGGCAACTTGTATACGTTTTAAGAGTACAGGAGCTATATGTGCTGGTCAACACGTTGTCTCTTCAGCACATCAAACATTTCTCGGGGGACTTTCACTGGAAAAATACGATTCTTTATCAGGAAAGCTTTGTTTGAATCTTTGTTATCGACAGCAATATTACTGGTTTGATTCTAAGACCCCGTTTAAATCATCGCCAGCTGAAATAGCCTTAGGATTCAAAACTTAAATCAAACGAAATTCAACCTTTTTATTTCTAAATTATTATGTGAGCCAAGTTTCATTGTTTAGTTTTCCACACAAGTTTCTTTCAACTTTCAATATCGTACAGTTACTGTACTTTCTGTAGTTGCTGCTGTAATGTCCACTAGCTACATTTGTGGTCATTTTTATGCTTGATAATGTAGTTATATTGCTCGGAAGATTAAGCGAAATAATTTTAGTAAAAGAGCTTCCTTTTCAATTTCCATCACGATTTCATTTCCAGCGTGGCATCAGACAAGTACCGCGAATTGGCAAAAGACAGGATGTCTTCGTCAATCGTGGGCGTTCCCGAAAAGCTCCTGATTATCATTATCCAATCAAAACCCGGCGCGACCAACTCCGTAAAATTATAGCTTGTATGCTTTAGGCGAAGGCTTATTCTTCGTGTTATCAGCTAAAACTCAGTTAGTGTGTCCATTTGTCGGCAAAAAAGTTCGTACGATTTTAATTTCGGACAAAAAAAGTGTGCGAAAATAAAACCATGCAAAATTTTTAAGCGTTGGAAATTTTAAGCGTCCGAAAGATACCTTTACAGTACAGTACTCACGGATAATTAAGCCAATTGGAGCTCAAAAGCTCTTAGTGTCCTTTATAAGGAGCGAGGTTCTAGTTGAGACTGCTTGAGATGTGTAACGGCGGGCTTGATAGAATATGTGATGTTTTTCCGTCGTCATATCAAAGAGACCTTGAGGCTGCAGTAAAATTATCATTTTCACAGATGTTGTTTCAGTCTCATTCGTATTTTGTAGGCGTAAATTTACTTTTTTATCTTTGTTTCAGCGAAGCGCCCGAAATTTTTGTCCGAAATGAGATAAAAAGTGTCAGAAAATTAAACGTGCGAAATAAAACGGCCGAAATTTTGGCGTCCGAAATTTTTTACAAGTGATGTATGTGGCTGCGGGATTAGCCATGGTTAACTTATAGAGTTTGTTCCACTGGCAAACTTTATGTGTTGACTTATCATTATTACTGACGTTTTTGCTTTTTCAGATGAAGATTTTTCTCTGTGTAGTTCTTTTCCTCTTCGTTCTTACTCAGTCCTTAGTGCATTCGTACGTTTCACAAGAGAAAGGGCCTGATAAAGAGGGGTCGCTGGTGACTAAGCGTTTCGTTCCTCAAGCCGAGCGCCCTGGAAGAAAGTCCCGGTTCGACAGTTTGTTTGATCCCCAAGCCGAGCGGCCGGGAAAGCCTGGAAAAGGCGGAAATATAAGAAGCGCCCAGGCGACTAAGCGATTGGTTCCACAGGCAGAGCACCCTAACGAAAAGCCCCTTTTCGACAGTTTGTTTGACCCACAAGCCGAACGGCCCGGAAAAGGAGGAAAATGGGAAAAAGGTGCCAAGCGATTAGTTGCTCAAGATGAGAACCCTCACGAATCGAACACTTTGGATAAATTGTTCGATCCGCAGGCCGAGCAGGATCAAGACGTGTGCATGTGGCGTTGTAGGGAATGGTGCCAGAAGCGCTGCAAAAAATCAAGCGACGCCGAAGAGTGCCTTGATGGGTGTTATAACTACCGTGGCCGTCTATGGAGAAGATGCATCAGGAAATGTCAAAATGGAGACCTTGATCGTCCTGGAGGAGAAGGCGAGGAAGAGGAAGAAGAAGAAGAAGAAGAA